TACGTTAGGCGCCACCAAGGCGCTAATTTTTCGGCGCCTAGTTGCCCGATTAATTATTTTTTTTAATTAAAAAATTTTAACTAAAAATTGTAAAAATTTTCTAATACAACATAAGGTTCCCATAGTTTTTTCTTAGAAACTATTTATTTAAGTGTCTATAAAATTGTTTAAAATATTGTTGAAACCATCTAAATACATTAAAAAAAACTAAAATTAAGAGCAAAAGAAGCATTTTTTGAGAAATTGGTGGGGCACCGAGTAAAAAAAAAAATACACGATTTCAAAAAAAAATTTATCCAAAACGGATAACCGAGTCGAAAGTTATGCCTTGCCAAAGTTTTCACACTTTACAAAAATCCTAATTTTTTTTTAAAAAGGGCGGTTTAGCCGGCTAGGCGGCCGCCTAGCCGCCCGACCGCGGAGGAGGCCGATTCTGGCCTTCCTTGCCGCGACCGGGCGGCGCCTAGCGCCTAGGCGCGATTTTTGCAACCATGATATAATAATTACAATTAATCCATTCATATATAGAGGAGAAGGAAAAAAAAAAAAGTAAAGACGATATGGTGAAAATGAATATATTTAAGGTATACAAATATAATTGCACAGATATTAATATAATTGACTAATTATTATTATGGTAATTAAGCTAAACATGGATCGTTGGATTTATTTTAATAATAATTACAATTAAACTATTTATCCTTTTTTCTCCTATTTATTTTAGTAATAGTATAATTACATAAATCATATTATATATCAATTTTTATGATAATTGCAGACAAACGAGTCATATAGTATTCAATTAATTGAGTCATACTTTTACACTAATCTTATAATCAAATAAATCTACATTTTTAAATATTAGAATTGTTTATAATTTCTTTAATTTTATTATCTAAATATATAATAAAAATTTTATCCGTGCATCACATAGGTAATTGGGCAATTATTTGTTTGAATTCAAGTAAGGATAATATCAAAAAACATAATCGGTCTAACCCATTTAATCAATTGCACAATATAATATTGTTTATTAGAATTTATATAATTGTATATCGATTCAAATATTCTTAGAATTCTAGTATTTTCACCCTTTCATTGCACGAAATTGTGGTCTAATGGTACCCGGGTTGGACTTCCATTTGGAAGATTATAAGTTCGAACCTCAGTAGAGGCGCTATTTGTTCTTTGTGTTTCAGTAGGTTGAGAAAGTATATGAACAGATACTACAATGTAATAGAGCCAGTAATTTTCAAAGAAAAAAAAAATATAAATTATAACAACAAATATTATATTGTGCAATCTATTTAATATTAAAAATACAACAATATTAAAATTCATATTCCTATTTTTCTGTCACTACTTAATATTGAATCAATGATATTTAGTTTACTCCAATCTATTTATTCGACTTTGTTATTTACTTTTCATTATTTATAAATAAACTAATTTATTTATTTTTTCCTTTTAAGAGTTGATGTTATGGGATTCAGATAAAAAAACAGTTTGCTTTGGTGGAGTTAGAGAAGTTGCTATCTTTGTGGGGGAAGAGCCTGAAGGACTTTTCAGATATGCCAATTTCAGACGAAACTAGCATAGATTTGAGTGAAACCATGTTGATAGCTGAAGCGTTGGTGTATGACAAGGAATCGTTGAAGACAAAGCATGAAACAATATATTCATTCACAAATTACAAGTATTATGTCAAACTAGCATAGGTTTGACGCAAAGAGGTTTTCAATAATATGTAAATACAATCGATGATATTTTTTTTTTTCAAAATGACAAAATTGTTATATATCTAGACAAAAATATATCCTTTATACAAATAAATTAGGATAGTAATTGATTACTATAACTAAGTTGCTAGAGATCGAACACATTTGCCCAATTTATAAAAATCCTAAACAATGATATATAAAAATATCTAAAGTTATAGCACCGCATGCGTACATCTACACATTAACTATTAATTTGAGCAATTACTTACTCGAATTCAAGCAATAATAACATCAACAAACATAAACGATCCAAACCATATCTTCAATTGCACTATATAATACTCTGTATTTGATGTTATAATTTAAATAATTATATATCGATCAAAATATTCTTAATATATTATAACAAATCCTTTCCGGGCATCGCATGGGTGAAAATACTAGTTTAGAGTAAAAATGATTGTTACTAATGATAAATATTGTAATACTTATAATTGAAATTGTGATACTTACAAAGTGTAATTCTAATGTAAATATTGTAATACTTATATATGAAATGTTATTTATGATAAATATTACAATATGTATTGTACAAAGTTTAATACCAATTTGAATTAAAAATAAATCTTTATATATAATAGATATTGTAATACTTATATGTGAAATTGTGATACTATTTATGATAAAATGGATTGTTACTAATGATAAATATTGTAATACTTAGGCTCTGTTTGGCAAACCTAGCTGAAAAGCTATAAGCTAGGAGTTGAAAGCTGAAAATGAGATGAAAGCTGAAAAGCTATAAGCTCAGAGCTGAAAACTGAAGAGTTGTTAAGCTAGCTGTTATGATTGAAAGTGTTTGGTAAACATAGCTTTTTGATAAGCTGATAAATGTAAAAAGACTAAAAAGGACATCTTCATAAAATTTAAATTAGTTTGTTTACATATTGAAATTTAACAATTTGTCTTTAAAAAAAATGAACATTTTAAAATAAAACTATTAGTATAATCATAATCTAGCATCTCATAATGAAGTAGTAATATTGTTGCAAATCTAATAATAATAATAATAATAATAATAATAATAATAATAATAATAATAATAACAATAACAATAACAATAATAACAATAACAATAACAATACAACAATAACAACAATAACAACAATAACAACAATAACAACAATAAAAATAATAACAATAATAATAATAATAATAATAATAATAATAATAATAATAATAATAATAATAATAATAATATTTGCAATGAAAGTTGCGGATAAAGGAAAAGAGAAAAAGGTTTTAATTGGGAAGGATAAATTATGTTTCTTTAAAATAATAAGGATAAAGATGGAAAAAAAAGTTAGGAAGCTAGGAGCTTATTTTGAAACGCTACCTAAAGTAGCGATCGAAAATAAGCTCTTATTTTAAGCTATGAGCTTATTTTGGGAACATTACCATACAGAACTTATAGCTTATTATGAGCTTAAAATAAGCTATAAGTTCCTAAATAAGCTCTACCAAACAGAGCCTTATAACTAAAAGTCTAAAATTGTGATACTTACAAAGTGTGCCTTCATTGAGCATCTCACCTAGTTGTCTACAACTCGACACATATCATGGATAAGAATTTGTGAGGTGGTTTCACACAAAGTTTTGCCCCGCACCATTTATTTTTTATTTTTTGAAAACCAAAATCAAAACTATATTAATTAAACTGCGATAAGAGAGGACGAATATAGTCAGGAGCGACATGTCACACATGTGAGAATTAGACTGAGAGCCTGTTGCCCTAGCTAAGGTATGGGCTATCAGGTTCCTAACCTCTTAATAAAATGACAAACAAGTTGATCAAAACAAGACATAATATTAAAACATTGGTTGACAAAAATAATTTGTTTTCTCATAAATTAAAATTTTAATTTTTTAATATAAAATTTAATTGTAATGCAAATAATATTTTTATTCCACAATAATATAATATATAACAACTATTACATTTAATTTTCAAAATTACCATATTGTTCCTACAGATGCTCAATTAATGCATTACGAAGTGCATAATGCGCTTCTCTATCTTTTATTTGTCTATGTCGAGCAAGAAATTCTTCAAATAGAGTAGCTTCATCTCTACGTATATCAAATTCTTGTTTAATTTCGGATGTATTCAGTTTAATTTTATGAAAATTATGTTTTATGTACTTTAATTTCTAATTAATCTATATATATTATTAGGCTTGTTTTAATTATCGTCTTGATGAGATCTTTCAAATGATATAATTTATTTTTTATTATTCAAATTTTATGTTTATGTATTTAACAAAATATATAAATTCATTAAAACAAAATAAGAATACAAAAGGAATTAATTAAAAAAAACAAAGGGCAAACTTGGTATTTCTTTTCTTCACACCATTTTGCCGTTCTCTACAATGCAACGAAAAATATGGCGCTGCACTGTAGACCAACGCTATTTTGGCGGAGCATTTGGCGCCTTTCTTGGAGAAGGATCAGCGCCAAATTCTCCGCTAAAATGGCGTTTGGCGCCTTCACTGGAGAAGGTCTCAGGTTCACTGACCTCTTAATAAAAGAGAAAATTGTAAAAAATGTCCCTCTATAATATGTCAGTTATCAATGTCACCCTTGAATTATGAGTGGTGTAAATGTTGCCCCTCAATTATCAAAATGGTGCACATATAGCCCCTGTGATTCCCCACCGCTGTTGGTACTTTGAGGGAGGGAAAAAACAACTACGACCCGACAGAGGCATTTGGGAGGATGTAAATCATGGTAAACTCAACTGAACATGAACCACAAAGGCTAAATCAGTGCTCACTGCACACAAATAACTCCCCTCACTTTGAGAGGTTACTCCCACACTATTATTGGTGAGACTCGATCCCTGGTCATTATTTCAAAGTTTCACCCTTGTGACCAATTGAGCTGCCCATGCAAGTGAAATTTAATTACCCTTGACAATATATCAAGTATAGGAGTGGTCCGTTTGTCTGTGGGTTTTTGTCTCGATCACACTATTAGTTAAAAAGAAATTTAATTACGCAATTAGAAAATGTCATGTAAGGAAGGGAAGATTGTAACTTGTAAGAGAAAATTTTGGAGGGATAGGTAGCTTACTCTGGTTATAAATATTAGATCAAGAAGATCAGACCAAGCTAATGCAGCTACGTTGAAGTTAAAAGAATTCATTATTAATATTGTTTAATCAAAATATTTTTACAATTCTTAAATCAATTAAGCAAGCCTTAAATCCACATCTACTCTATAATTAGCAGCTTTAGACTCTTTCTTTGCTATAGCTTTGCATCATCTACTCCTCAACCTCATCAAACTCGCCTTCATGAGAGTCATCTTCATCAAACTCGCCTTCATCGGAGTCATCTTCTTCAAGCTAGAGAGCGAGGTTGTCATGAATGAATGAAGAAAATAAATTAGGATGTGATGAAACTAAATGAAGTTGGGAGAAAATTTAAAGGAATTGAGAAAAAGAAATGGAGATTGATCGAGAGACCTGTGTTGTGTCTATCTCAATGACAACCATATTCTCGTTTCCATAGTCATGCTGTTCAGCCTGAATTTGCTTGGCTGACATCACTGCAGAAGGATGACACATCTCTAATTCGATTAAGTTCAATGTTGGAATTTCTGCAAAGCTATTCGGGATCTCTCTCAATTCAGAGCAATCGTAAAGGCATAGGCGCTCAAGTTTTGGAAAATTATGAGCACCCACTTCCCAATACTTGAGATTACCATACGAAATTTTCAAACAAACTAAGTGGCAGAATTTCACATTTTCTGGTACTTCCCACTTTTTGCCAAGCTCGTCAACACCCAACTTGAGCACCTCAAGCCTCGGTAACTTGCTCAAAACATTAATTTCCTTCCACTCAGATTTCTTAAATTTCATAAAATCAAACTTCAGCTTCCTAATGTTTTTCAAGAGAAGAATATTGTTTATGATTTGAGCCATATCCTCCGGAATTCCACAGATCCTCTGGATAAATATATCAACACTAAAAGACAAACTCTCGAGCTGCGGTAAACAGACAAGGTTCTTACCGCAATCATCGGTTTTGCCTATAATAATATTTACCTTCTTTAGGTATGGAACTTTTGTTAAGGAATCTTGGTCGCAATATCTAGGCGGCAATCTATAAATCACCTGCAAGTTTTGATGAACAGATTTGGGAAAAGCTCCACGAAATAATACACCACTCATAATATACTGTAGTTGTGGGAACTTCAAATGCACCAATTCTAAGCCTGTACACACTTGATATGTTTGAAGATTCCAAGCGTTGGAGAATAATAAATCATCACGATTAAGTGCCTCATAAGATTTAAATACCTTGTATATCGAAAGGTATCTCAAATGGATATGAACAGTCGGACTTCGCCAATGGAATTGATGAATATAGAGTACCCTCAATAGGCTGAAAAATTCCAAAGTTATTGAATCTATGGATGACTGCACAAAATAAAAGATGGACCGACAGTGTTTTGACAGAGAATGTAACCCAGAGATGTCAAAATCTTCAACGGACACCCTTATCCAACGGACACCTTTCTGGGGGAAATTGGAACCACTTTCATCCACAACATGCAAAAGACTCTGGTTCTGACCTTCTCTTACACAAAAGGCATGCAATAAATCATGTAATCTAAACTCTTTAATTTTTCTTCCACAACTACTTCTTTTGCTTACAAGAATTAAGTTTCTATCCATAAGTTCATTTATGTACCTTTTAGCCACCGCTTCATAACTCTCATTCTTGAATGCCTTTAAAAGTCCTTCGGCAGCCCATAACCTTGCAAGGTTGTTAGCCCCGATCGTATAATCTTCTGGGAAAACTCCTAAGTATAAAAAACAAGCTTTCAAATTATGGGACAAGTGACTATAACTCAATGAGAGGATTCTCCAACATTCTTCATCATCTAGAGTTGATGTTGAAGAACTTATTAGAGCATTAGCAGTATTTTTCCACTCATCTAGTGTGTTGAGTTTTGAAAATAAACCTGCTACCACAACAATTGCCAAAGGCAGTCCTTTACATATCTCAACAATTGGTCTCCCAATTATCTCAAATTCAACACCATGAGATTTGCATGCCTTTTTACGAAATAGATCCCAACTTTCACCTTGATCTAAGAACTGCAATTGATGGGAGAAGTAATTGGTAGAGCCAATACAAGTAGCCACCTCTGCAACGCGAGTAGTCAACAATACTCGACTCCCATTTACATCATCTGGAAAGCAAGATTTAACATCATTCCATGACTCTATGCTCCATACATCATCCATCACTACCAAGTACCTTTGACCCTTCAAACTTTGGTAGAGCCGTAATGCTAGGTCATCATCACTGCTGTTGTGTAGATCATCGTCTTTAGAACCAAGAAGACCTATGAGCATTTGCCTCTTATTGTGATGTTGTGATACAACAACCCATAGTCGTTTGTCAAAGTGGGAGACAATTGATTGATTTTCATAAACTCGTCTAGCTAACGTTGTCTTGCCGATTCCTCCCATACCTTGAATTGAGACAACATTCCGTTCTATAGATGGATGTTGTATTAACATCTTCCTTATAATCTCGAACTCATTGTCTTTCCCGACCATTATATCCTCAGTGTGTGAAGCATGATTGGAGGAACCGGAACCGGAACCGGCCATCTTGGCAACTTCATCATCAGATTTTGGAATAACATCAAGTGTAGTCTTCCTTCCTTGCGCAGCTATGTCATGCTTGTACTCCATCATGACTTTCTCCACCTCTTCTTTAATGGCATCAATGTCTTCTATTGCTTGTTGCAATACATGACTAAGTCTATGAGAATGCTGGGTTTTTCTGGCTTCAGTGTCCCCTTGTCCCATTTCATCGTCACCTTCTTTATAGAGATCTACCACAAAGAATTCAATTTCATCTTCTACTCCGAAAGCTACATCTCTGAGCTTTGTTTCCAACTCTTTAATTGCTTCAACACCATCCATTCTGAACTCGTCGAACAGTTGTATCAGAAAACCAAGATTTGCTTGGAGAGATTGGATCAGTTCTTTGTTAAGAGGGATGAGTTCCATTTGTTGTAGGATTGGACGAGGCTCAGGTTGCAAGAACTCAAGCTCTAATGTTCTGATAAGAGAATTTACTGCTACACAAGCCATTTTTTTCTCTATCTCTATCTTTGTTGGTGTAGGTGTGAAGATTAGCAGAAGCAAGATTAGTGGAATTGGGTAATGCCACTGATCTGACAGTGCAATAAAATTTCAATTATTGGTGGAATAATTCAGAAGTAGCTAGGGATGGCCTGCTGATTATTTTAATTTATTTTATAATTTTATTTTTTCCACCAATCAATCAAATAGCGAAGTTCCATTGACATGACTAAATTTCGATTGATTTGAAATAGTTTCATCTCAGCAAAATGAGAATATCAATGCAATATTATCTTCTAAATTTGCAAATTTCATATGGCCTGGTTCGTCAAAAAATATCTGAAGAGGATTAGAATTGAAATTTCATGGAAAATAAATTACAGAAAGAACTAATTACATTATATGATTGGTAGAAAAGAAATTACTAAGAATATTAAAGTCACTGTTTGGTTGGATTTTGAATGATTGTCATACTAATTTTTCATGGAAAACAAAATACCAGGAGTGTTTGGTTGGATGGAAAAATTTTTTGTAAGGAAAAAGATTTCCCTAAATTAGGAGTGTTTGGTTGGATGAAAAACTTTTTTGTAAGGAAAAAGGTTTCCCTAAATTTGAGGAAGCTAGATGGGAGTTTCGTCCGTTTGGTTCGTGACTTATGACTATTTTGCCTTTGTGATTCATTCTTCCAAAGGTTGAACCACAACCCTAAGGGTTAGGCCCCCACACTCCGACTCGACAGAGCATTTGGGAGGATGTAAATCATGGTAACTCAACTGAACATGAACCACAGAGGCTAGATAATATTGCATTGATAACATTACTATTGGTGCAATAATCATTGAGTGCTCATTAATTGAATGGGGATCCGTGAAGCGAGTCAAATTTAGAAAAATAACTTGTTACTTAGGATAGAAATCATAATATCTATTACAGAAATTGTTGGATCTTAGCGATTCACAAGTCATTCTATCTCTGGTCTATCTCTCTCTATCTCTGTTGGTGTTGGTGTAAAGATTAGCATAAGCACGATGCATGGAATTTGGTAATATATTGTTATTTTACTATTTTAGCTATTCTTTTTGGAGCTCTCACACGTTTAAAGTGTAAAATTGGAATTTACCGTGACTCGAACACAATTAGGGAGTCAGAAGTCTACTCAAAAAGTTTTTTATCCGCTACGGTCCTATCTAGGATCGTAATACTGCTGAATAAGTGGATAAAGTTGGTCTAATTAGAAAATGGGCATTGACTTTTAGTTCTTTTAGTTTTGTAGGTGTTGAATAAGCCGATAAAGTGGCATGGGTCTAATTAATTAGAAGATATATGGCAGCATTGTGGTGTTGAATAAGTCTAATTAGAAGATGGCAAGTGGGTCTAATTAATTAATTAGAAGATGGATGCAATGTGGTGTAAAATAAGTCTAATTAGAAGATGGCAGCATTGTGGTGTTGAAGGAGTCTAATTAAAAGATGGCAAGTGGGTCTAATTAATTAGAAGATGGCAGCATTGACTTTTAGTTTTGTAGGTGTTTTTTTTTTTTTTTTTTAAGGAAGGAGATATCCTATATACATACTACTTGCCTCAAATAAAGTTCAAACCTTTCACCTCCCACTTAAAAGAACAACCGAGTACCAATGAACCACAAGCCACTTGATAGTTTTGTAGGTGTTTAATAAGTCGATAAAGCAAATTTGTCGTATAAGCAAATAAATAGCAATAGATAATGGGAACCACTTCAAACTTCTTTAGTAAGTATTTATACTATACAATTCAACTTTCTTCTAAATATGAATTGTATATATACCAGTGTAAACACACTCCTCATTCCAATGTGAGACAAACTTGAGTTAATACCAGTCGAGATCCTCCGAGTATAGTGGCACTGTCACGTTAATTTAATCCTAAACTTTCAATTTAACCACTCATAGCCATTCAACTTTCAAATTTAATCATTCATGGTCCTTCAACTTTCAAGTTAACCATTCATGGCCATTTAATTTCCAAATTTTTAATCAACCTTGGTCCTAAGTTTGCCCTTACGTAAACTGAGAGAAGGACCACGATTGGTTAAATTTGAACGTTGAAGGACCATGTGTGGTTAAATTGAAAGTTTAGGACTACACGTGCCGGTGTCACTATACTCGGAGGACCCCAACTTGTATTAACTCGACAAACTTCTATATATGATAGTACCCACTTTTTGCCAATGTCGGAAGTCATTAACTTGAACACCTCAAGCCTCGGTAACTTGCTCAAAACATTAACTTGTCCAAGGTCACTTTACCTGGAAAGTAAATTCCCTAAGGTTACATACTAAAAAGTTGAATCCACTTCTCAGATATAGTACATCCGAGAAGTTAACTTATTTTCTGACGAGTGGCATATTCCCTAAAGGTGCCCAGTCACTTTTCATTTCAGTTGGAAAAATATGTCAATTTTCAGACTATATTTGTGTATGCATGTCGCCGGTGCACTCCCCTCATGCACAAGAGAAAAAAAAAACATTTATGCTATACAATTCAAACTGTTAAAAGGGATCAGAATTCTATATATACTAGTGCAAACCAATTGCGTATTCCAATAATGTATGACAAATGCTACTTTCAAACTTTCTCATTTCTATTTTCCAATTCAAATGATTCTACTTTGACAATCAATTTCTCATTCAACCATTATCCGTTTTGAATATACAATATATCAATTTCTTCGTCTAAATTGCACTTTGACTTGACCCAAATCGAAAGTGTACCATATATATATTTGCATCACTAAATAACCACTTAAAATGTAATTTTTGCCACAAATTTTCAACAAGCTTTTCTTTTTCTATGTTAACAATTTTTGCAATTTGTAAATTAAAGATTAGAGTTAGATAATGACAACATAAAATGAGGTGTAATTGTGTAAGTCGGAATCTTACAGCACAAATCTATTGTAATTTATGTGCCATATGTGTTGTCCAAATGGATGAATTTTTTATATATGTTCCATATGTGTCAGTTGTCCATGTGCAAAGTTGTTAAAGCAATTAAATTCGCAAGTAGTTTTAATGGCTTGTACCCACCATATTATCAACATTATACGTTAATACCGCATCCACTCACTAGTACAAAATGAGCCATTCGCGTCTTTACTATTAGACAATATGCGTATTTACTAGTAAAGACGCGTATGGCGCAGACACGGAAAGTCGCGTCTTTGCTTGGAAGCCGCGTAAAACGGGACTATACGCGTCTTTACTAGTATAGTAAAGACGCGTATAGTGTTTAACGAAAAAAAATAACAATAGGCGTCTTTAAGACGCCTATTGTTATATTTCCTAAAAATAATATTCATTAGTTTCAACAGAAAATTCTATTATCCAATCAAAAATCATTAAACACAAAATATAATAAATAGGTGAATAATAAACACTTAATCACAATGAAACTATGAGACTCACTTGGTGTTTAACTAAAATTTTATCCTTTTAAGCTTATGTTTGAGAGATAAATGTGCTCTACACATAGTTTTAGAAAATTAATGAACTAACCTTCCCCACATAGTCATTAGCTTCTCCTACAAGACGGATGTTCTTTCCAGGTGTCAAAAAACAACCAAATGACTGCCCAGCACTCCCTATGAATCTGCATGAGTAGCAACAAAGCTTCTAAGTTTTACAAGGATATAGAAAAACAATATGTTTCTCAATGTATGCAAGAATCACAACAATTATATATAAGATTGGAATTACGTTATGTTAAGCTACCCAGCAAAACCAGTGTCACCGTATTTCTTTGCAATAACACCAGCTATGCGGCCACAAGTAGCACGGTCAATATTATAAATTTGAATTGTTTTGTTCACCACCTTTTCATTCTCAATTGCATCAGATAACTGCAAAGAATTATATATATTGCAACAAAAAAAAAAAAAGAATTGAATTATTGTGCATACTGACCAAATATTACAAAATAGTATACTCTAGTAATTGGATTAAAAAAGAAAATTCTCCTTAAATAGAGTCCCATGCTGTTTTTGGATTGAAAATATGTGTTTGGCTTGTAAAGGTTTTGAAATTTTTGATTGTTGAAGGATGGAGAGTGGTAGAATATGGGTTGGTTAATTTTGTCATTAGGAAGAAATTTCAATTCATTCAAGATATGGTGTGTGTGTGTGTGTTTTCTTTTTCGTTTTTCATAAATGGTGTTTAAGCACAGCAAAATTACCCTAACAAAGTGGTGACACAATTCTGGGTGTGACTTCTAAGCCGAACCCCAAAGTATTCTACTTAGAAATTTCAATTCATTTAAAAATGGTTGAAGGTAAGGAATAAGGATGCTATATGCAGATTAATTCCAAGAAAGGTAAACTATGGACTACTTGATGAAATGATCCTTAATGTTTACCTCTGGGTCAGACAGTAGAACTTCATCAAGAACAGGACCATTGCTATGAACCCCTCCTGGTTCCTTATCATTGTACTGCTTCATTTGGGCATACCAACATTCTAAAACATAATATAAGAAAATTGTTATATATGCAACTACTAATGATATATCAAGGGTACTGTTGCTGAAAAGAAAAACAAAAGAGACAAAAAAGTTGTGACATTCCAACAAAGGGAGAAATGATCAAACAAAGATGGGCACAAATCAACTTCCACACTAGAAATTGTCTTGTCTAAGAGGGTGGAAAAGAACCAGGGCTCAAAGTGTTAGAGAAGAATTTGAATGAGTCAATGTCCATTCCTACTACTTCCCTTTCCAGCATCCCACTTCGTCTTTGCAGGACAACCAAATCAGCAAGTTCAACATAGTTCTAAGCTACTGATATCTTCTAGTCTAGCCACATTAGTAGATAAAGTATAATACTTGCACTCTTTAACCTTTATATGAAACATCAGAATTCATAATTGTGTTAGCATAAACAAAATTAAGTAGACTACATAAAACAGAATATTTGATCAATCTTTCAAGTCTAATTAGAAACATCACGATTCAACATAATTTCTATAAGTAAAAATAAAATTAAAAATAGTAGAAATAATGATAATACCAATACTACTAATTATAATAATGACGATGCTTAAATAGTAATTTGCATGCTTAATTTCAATTACGCAGAAAAATATACCACAGTTCCAATGTATAATTCTAATTGATCTAGAGAGTAATTCATTTACTAATACAATATAAATTCATCTTTTTTTTTCAAGAAAGAAGAAGAAGATTAAATGACATAGAACTACCAGTATCCATACCATTTAGACATTACAAATTACAAACAAAATATTAAACACCACCACACCGAAATTAAACACTGAAGCAGCAAATATTAATGTCTTAGAATATAATGAAGAATTAGCCTCACTTGGAAGTCGCACCACGAAGGCGGCTTGGTCCGTTGGTTGCTTGGAGTAGGCGAGGCACGGAGGCGGCGGAGGTTAGGGATTTGGATTTTGGAGAGAAGGGTGCGGCGGAGAGAGATAGAAAAGGAGGAAACCTAGGTTTTGGGGGAGAGAATGTTATTTCTATGGTTTTAGTTTTTTATTTACTTTTTATAAAAAAAAAATACGCGTAGGAATACGCGTCTTTACCTTGCTAGTAAAGACGCGTGTCTTCATTGAATTGGTAATAGGAGTCTTGACTATATAAGTAAAGACCCGTAAAGTTTGTAATATATTTATAAATATGCCACCGCGATTTTTTTTCTTTACTTTAGAAGTCTTTACTTGTAATTAAAGAAGTGTATTATTTCATTTTTTTGGTCAATTCTCTACTAGTGACTAAATCTCAAACTCACAACGCAACTTTTTTACATAGAAAATGTAATTTGATGTCACTAGACCACAAGGTCTTATGGTACTGAGAGTTAATTAAATAAAATTATGTCAATACTAAGAAGACTTAATGTATTTACTATATAGACTAGTTCCTCCTAATTTGTAGGATTAGAACAAGTCCACTAACTATTCCTAGAGTTTGGTGGTTTTAGTTGTATGCATGGCTATAGAGTTTTTTGCACTTTTGGTCCCACGACTATAGTGGCACTAGCAGAATTGATCCACGACTTTTGAACCTTGCAATTTTAGTCCACGACTATTGATTTTTTTGCAAAAATGGTCCTTCCGGCCACTTTTCCGTCAAAATTCCACCGGAAAAAAAATTCTCCATTTTTAACAGGGCTAAAATTGACATTTTACTTATCTCAACAAAAAAAAGAAAAAAATTGACATTCGACTACATAGTACATACAATATTACTGGGCTACATACTACTGCCTCAGGCAGCGGAGTTCCTGGAGCAGGCAGGGCTATCAGTAAGCGGTGGAGCGGCCGTGGCGTTCCCTGGGCTAGTTGGGTTATCCGGCAGCAGCATTGGAGGCGGAGCCAGCACGCCTGCCGGATCATTCGAAGACATCGGAAAAGCTTCGCTGTATAGATTTTCGGCGAGAGAAGCGGCGGAGATTCTCAAATGCAATCACTTATATATTTTTTTTGTTGAGATAAGTAAAATGTCAATTTTAGCCCTGTTAAAAATGGAGAATTTTTTTCCCGGTGGAATTTTGACGGGAGAGTGGCCGGAAGGACCATTTTTGCAAAAAAAATCAATAGTCGTGGACTAAAATTGCAAGATTCAAAAGTCGTGGATCAATTCTGTTAGTGCCACTATAGTCGTGGAACCAAAAGTACAAAAAACTCCATGACTATATAAGCCTTCTGTAACTTTTGATCAATTGCACTCTCATTCTAACCTTACAAATACTAGCAGCATGTTCGAGAGTGAATAATATGATGAAACTAAATGATGTTTGAGAGTGAAATGAAAAACAATTGAGAAAGAGAAAGGGTGAGAGATCTTTACTGTGTCTTCCTCAATGACATGCATCCACGTCCTCGTTTCCAAATTCATGCCCTTTTAGTTAATAAATTATGTACATACTACCTACAATATTAATTAATCTATTATGTATCTGCAGTTAATATATCATGTACTAGCAGTTAATAAATTATGTATTTATTACAATTACAATAATTAAAATATTATGTCCATGCAATTAATAAATTATGTACCTATTACAACTACAACAATTAAAATATTAGGAAAAAATGTCAAACTGACTCCAGGGACGGAGGCAGAAATTTCATTGAAGGGGGCGAAGAAGTAGGACGATTCAGAAATTTTTTTCCAGTAAAATCAAAACATTAAAACAAAAGATATTATTTAAAAAAAAAAATTACCTAAGAATTTTTTTTTTATAACCATTACTTAAGAAATATAGTTGTAATTATTATAAACATATATCACTATTAATATAAAAAAAATGTTATATATATATATGTGTGTGTGTGAGCCATAAGGGAAAGACAAACTATGCTACATACTACAAGGTTTTGAACCCAAGACCCTTCCCATTACAATACACATGCTCTACCAAACAATCTAACCACTTACTTGTTGACATTTACAAGTTTTTTATACTAATACTAAAATCTATACTATATATACATATATACATACACAAATTATATATGAGGTGGGGGTGGGGTGAGGGGGGCAGCTGACCCCCCTGCCCCCCCCCCCCCCCCCCCCCCCTTCTGCCTCCGTCCCTGATTGACTCCCTAAGTCAGCTGAGTAGTGCAATTGGGTCCCCTAACTAAAAAAACATTCATTCAGATTTCCTAAACCTATAAAATTGTTCAATTAAGTCCAAAGTGACTTGTTTAACAGGTTAAGTCTTCACATGCATAATTGACACGTCTTTTTAAAATATTTTTTATTTTTGTTTTTTTTTTTAATTTTATTTATTTATTTATTAAAATACATATAATATAAATAAATAAATAAATAACCACAGCCACTAGCTGTCTATCAAGGAAACCGGTGGCTGAGACGGTCATAGCCGTCAGATCTGGAATGAGAGCGGCAATAGCCGCCGCCCTCGTTCCAGATTGGCCATGACTCTCAAATTTGGAACGAGAGCGAGGAAGCCGATGACCGAGTGTTTTGTGTCTGCGCCATCTTCGACCGGCTGTGCCTGCCTGCCTGCCATGTTCACGGAGGTGAGGCCACTGAGCATTTGAGAGTCTTGGCCGATCTGGAATGAGGGCAGCTGTCATGGCCGCTCTCGTTCCAGATCTAACGATCATGGTCGTCTCAGCCACCGGCTTCCTCGCTGGACAGCCGGTGGCTGTGTTTTTTATTTTTATTTTTATTTTTATATATAATATATATTTTAATAAATAAATAAATAAATAAAATTTATAAATATATATATATATATATATATATATATATATATATATATATATATATATATATATATATATATATATATATATATATATATATATATATATATATATAATATTTTAAGAAATCATGTGTCAACCATGTAAAAACTTAACATGTTAAACAAGTCACTTTGGACTTAATTGAACAATTTTATAGGTTTAGGGGATCTGAATGGAGCTTTTGTTTAGTTAGGGGACCCAATTGCACTATCATGTCGACTTAGGGGGGGGGGGGTAATAAATTATATATGTACTTATTACAACTATAACAATTAAGAGTGTGTTTGGTTCGCACATGGAAATCGAAATCGAGATGGGAATCAAATACTTGGCAATGGTACGGGTTTTGTGAAACTATTTTGCATGTTTGGTAGTATGGTGAAATCAAAATGATTATCAATATTGATATTTGGTTATGTATGACCCTATAATGGGAATAAAGGTTTTAAAAATACAAAAAAAAAATAAAAAATCATGGCAATTGATCTTAATATAATGACATCCAAAGCACCAATATGAACAAAAAATCAAAACAAAAATCTAAAATCACTAATCCAAACTTAAAAATCATATTACTGTTGTAAGAATATTAGAATAGACAAAGAGGGGAGAGGGAAGGTTCAGACTTCTCATTCATCATACCGAATTCTTATACAAAGGTATCATCATATACAAGGTAATAATGAATACATATAAAAGGTAGTAACCATATCAACTGCTACCATATATATAATAATGTCCACAATATTCATATTTATAACACTCCCCCTTGGACATTATTTGACATGATCCTGTCTTGTAAGAACTTGCTAGGAAAACCCTGTGGGAAAAACCTAGACAAAAGAAGTATATATATATATATATATATATATATATATATATATATATATATATATATATATATATTCATGCCTCGTTAAAAACTTCACTAGGAAAACCTCGTGGAAAAACCTAGTTGAAGAAAAGAGTACATGATATTTGTAAGAACATATACTGTATTGATTGCCTCATTAAAAACCTTAACTTAAGAAAACCCTGTGGAAAAAACTTAGTTAAGGGAAAAAGAGTACAATCATAAGCCTTCAAGGCATAATCGGCGTAATCTTCAGGATTTTGGGATTTGTCTACTTAAGCTATTATTTTGCAACATTTTCCCATTTATGTTACTATATCATACTCATGCCTCGTTAAAAACCTC